GGATTACAAGGGGGCCCTGCAGTCTTTATGCAATTAATCAATGACGTTCTAAGGGAGCACCTGTTTAAGGGGGTCCTTGTTTACTTGGACGACATTCTTATCTTTACCGAAACAAAAGAAGAACACGTCAAACTTGTCAGAGCGGTTTTAAAGAAGCTGCGAGCCGCTCACCTATATGCCAAACTCTCAAAATGCGAATTCCACCAGGAAAGGATAGACTACCTAGGCTATCGCATATCCCCACAGGGCATTGAAATGGACCCAGAGAAGGTCAGAGCAGTATTAAATGGGCACCACCCCGCACAAGAAAGCAACTACAAAGTTTCCTGGGCTTTGCAAATTTTTACCGCCAATTCATCCCCTCATTTGCACAGATAGCCTTGCCCCTCACTAACTTACTAAAAACGAAGGGAACATCCTCAGTAAAACCTAGCCAGCCACTAAAATGGACAATGGAGTGCCAAGCAGCGTTTGAGAGACTAAAGAGACTTTTTTCTGCCGAACCAGTACTAAGGCACCCAGACATGGACAAACCCTTCATAATACAGGCAGATGCAAGTGATGTGGCAGTGGGGGCTGTGCTATTACAAGAAAATGATGATGCAGTATTGCAACCCTGTGCATATACATCTAAGAAACTCACGGAAACAGAACAGCGCTGGCCCGTATGGGAGAAGGAGGCTTATGGGATACGTTGGGCATTACTCACGTGGCGACAGTTCCTGGAAGGCAACAAAATCCCCTTCCAGGTGTGGACTGATCACAAAAATTTAGAAGCCCTGAAAACTCCAGGAAACTCAATCCCAAACAAGCCCGCTGGTCCCAGCATTTTCACCAATTCCAATTTAAGCTCAAACATTTACCAGGAAGAAAGAACTTCCTGGCAGATGCACTATCTCGCATGCCCCAATATAACAGCGCACGAACCACAGACTCTAGACCAATAATGGCAGAGTCACAACTGGCAGCGCCAGTAACCACAAGAACCCAAGCCAAAATAAAACCACAACTGGACAGCCAAACTGGGATTGAATTCAGAAAAAGTTTGGAAACAGATGAATGGTTCCAGAAAAACAAACATGTGTGCACAATGAGAGACGGATTGCCTTGGGTAGGGGAAAAGTTATATATACCAACAACTCAAAGACTAACTTTCATGCAACTTTGCCATGACACAAAATCAGCAGGGCATTTTGGATTTGTAAAAACTTTACACTTAATTAAACGGCAATTTTGGTGGCCATCAATAAAAAGGACATAGAAAGTTATGTTGCCAGCTGCCCAACCTGTGCATCAGCAAAGAGGTTGCAAGGGAAATCGCCAGGGCTGTTACAACCAGTGGCAAGTCCCTCAGCCCCCTGGAGGGAAATAGCCATGGATTTTATAGTGGAATTGCCTGAAAGCAATGGGAATACTGTTATCTGGACAGTCACGGACCTATTTTCCAAACAGGTGCACTTTATCCCTTGCCAAAAAATTCCCACTGCAAAGGCCTTAGCAAAACTTTTTATCCAGCACATTTACAGATTGCACGGGGCACCCCAACGCATCATCTCTGATAGGGGAGTGCAATTTACGTCTACATTTTGGAAGGAATTTTTATCCCTCTTAGGGACCACTCAGGGACTGACATCTAGCCATCACCCTCAGACAGATGGACAAGCGGAACGCTGCCAGTCGGTACTTGAGCAATATTTGAGATGTTTTTTAAATTTCCAACAGAGTGATTGGACGGACTTACTTCCTTTTGCAGAAGTTGCCTACAATAATGCAGTCCACTCCAGCACAGGCTACACTCCTTTTCAAATAGCCAACGGCCAAAGTTTCAACCCTATGCCAGAGTTAACCCCAAAAGAACCAACGATCCCTTCACTGAAAGATGGATGGAAAACCTACAAAACACCTGGCCAATAGTCAGAAAATCACTAGATGAAGCTAGGCGGGCATACAAAGCACAAGCCGATAAAAAAAGGGTTGAGCCTACACCATTCATTATAGGAGAAATGGTGTACTTATCTACAAAATACCTAAAGTCCCTACAGCCCTGTAAAAAACTTGGACCAAAATATATAGGACCTTTTCCAATTAAAAGGATCATAAATCCAGTAACAGTAGAATTAGAATTACCCAAAAACCTCAGGCAAATACACCCAATTTTTCATTGCAGCTTGCTGAAAAGAGAGCATCAGTCACCTCTACGGCCAAAAATCCCCCCCCCACCACCTCCAATCATGGTGGAGGGGGAACAACACTTCGAAATAAAAGAGATCCTTGACTCTAGGAGATATCGTGGAACAACTCAGTACCTAGTTGCCTGGAAACACCTCCCTGCCTCACAAAATGAGTGGGTCCATAAACGTCACGTCAGAGCCCCGAAGCTATTGAAGAAGTTTCACACAGAGTATCCTAACAAGCCTAACTAAATTTTTTACTTGTGTTTTCTTTCAGGTGGATCTCTCTTATTGTTAAGAGGGGCCGGATGTCAGAATCCAATTATATTTCATCTTTAATTATCAAACATAGAAACTCCCAATTCTGCCTTCTCTGGATTCTGCCATAAGAGGGAGAAAAGGGGGAGAGCAAAGGGGCTTTATGGCCCTCACTTCCTTCAGCACACTTCAAAGGACTGAATGTGTGTTTATTGTGGCCTCTAAGCTTTAACATATCAAAGAAGAGTAATTGCCTTTCATGTAGTTATCTGAAGTCTCCATCCAGACGGAAGAAGAAAGGGGATGGAATTGTGATACTTGAAACTATCACTGGAAGGGGGGTTGATTGGGTGGGACTACTGGGGAACCCCTTAAAACCTTGAATGGGAGAGCTTGAACCCCAAGTCCTGTCTAGCATGCCTGCAACCATTTTCTCTTAATAAAGGATTCCTGTTGGAAGAATTATTCCAAGAGTTCTGTCTTCTTAAGATGCAAAGTGGGGTGGGTCCTCACAGTGCCCATTTTTTTGCAGTGTTTTTCAACCCATCGTAAGTGTACTACCTGCCAGGTGCCGACGTACCACCAGTGGTATGCATACCACCGGTTGAAAAGCCCTGTCATAGAGGACACTGTGGGCCTGCAGGAAACTCTGAAAAAGTGTCTCAGACCCAACCCCAAAATTACTCCTGAGGGGCAGAAAACCTTCCAGACTTTAAGCTCCATCCCATCTTAGGTTCCCAGGACAAGATATCCAATTATTTATTTTTCTTTCTTTTAAGAACACTCTCAAAAACACCCCATTTCCTCCCCAGACAAGTGCTCATTGAGAACCCCTCTGTTTTTTTTCCTCCTGGTGGAAATGATTGGTTGGCATTAAACTTTCTCGTCTCACCCCATTGCTCTCAATAGCTCAGAAGCTTCATTTCCCATTTGCCAGTCTTCCTGCTTCCCAGATTCATCTCAGTTCAGGCTCATTTCAGGTCCTCCCTCTGCATTATTTATTTTCTCAAATTTCAGAAGACCTCTTGATTCCTCTGGGCTCCAATTAGACTGAAAAATGTTAAGATAGTGGAGAGCAGATAATAATTGGAGCCCAGAGCATCAGGAGAACAAATGCTGGAGGCCTGTTTCACTTGGAAATCTTTCTGGCTTCTACCTGCCCTGAATAATAATAATAATAATAATAATAATAATAACAACAACAACAACAATAATAAGACCAAATGAAGAACAGAATAGAGGCATGGGAAGACAAAACACTACATGGCCAGTACATTAAAAAAAATAGCTGGGAAAGCAGATAATAACAAGACCTGGCAATGGCTAAGAGCAGGAAAATTGAAGAAAGAGACTGAGGGACTAATTCTGGCTGCACAAGACCAAGCCTTAAGGACAAGTGCATATAAAGTCAAAATTGAGAAGACAGCAACAGACAGTAAGTGCCGCCTATGCAAAGAAGCTGAAGAAACCTGGTAAGCTGCTGCAAGAAGATCGCACAGACTGACTACAAGCAGTGGCATGACAAAGTAGCAACAATGGTGCATTGGAAGATCTGCAAGAAATATCATTTGCCTGTAAGCAAAAACTGGTGAGATCATAAAATAGAGAAAGTCAAAGAAAATGATAAAATTAAACTGCTCTGGGACTTCAGAATTCAAACAGACAAGCACCTGCAACATAACACCCCGGACTTAACAATTGTCGATAAGAAAGACAAAAAAGTCTGGATAGTGGACGTGGCAGTGCCTGGAGACAACAGAACAGATGAGAAAGAACTGGAGAAGATAACAAAATATAAAGACCTACAAATAGAAATATAGAAAGACTGTGGCAAAATCAAGCAAGGGTAGTACCAATAGTAATAGGCGCCTTGGGTGCAATCCCAAAACAACTGGAGCACCACTTGAACACCATTGGCATTGACAAATTTGCTATTAGTCAATTGCAAAAGGCCGCCTTACTAGGAATTGCTTCCACCCTGCTACGATATCTGTAATACCATCAAACTTCCACATCTGTCTATCCCAGGTCCTTGGTAAGGATTCAATAGGTAGACAAAATGCCAAATCCAGTCTGAACATTTGGCTGACTATATGATGATCTATAATAACAACAACAACAACAAACAACCAAGAATAAGAAAATACATAAGCAGCATATCTTGATTTATTAGAAAAGGTAATGAATGAGCAGAATGAATCAAATTCAAATGTTTTAGCCAAATCACTGTAACTATTGAAGTCCCATGTGGTTCTTCTTAAAGTAGTAGAATTGCATTTGGGTTGCAGCTGAGAATGTACATGATTAAATGTTTTCACATTTTGTTAGGTAGGCTTATGGTCATGAGAGCAGACACAGACTTGTCTCCTTGGTGAGAACAAGGCTGTTGTTTCATTGGAATAAAACATGCTGCAGTAGAAAGATTGCACAAACTTAAGCATTGCATCTGTATGTGAGTTTGAACATTAAAGGCTTGCTTTTAGAGATGGAGTCTAATAAGTCCTTTTTGTTTGGCAAATTATTTTGTAGCAAGTGTAATTGAAATCTTTAACATGCATATATACTTTTCAGATATAAAAAATATTTTGGAAAATGTTGGTTCTAACATCACGGCTTTTACTAAAAAGCTTCCCATTCAGAAGATTCTAACAGATTTCACGGTATATCTCACTCAGTGTGAAGCGTATGTTGAAGATTATTTTCCATTAGTGGAGCAATATGATTTCTACAGGTATGTAATAATAATGATGATGATGATGATGATGATGATGGAAGGGACTTTGGAGGTCATCTAGTCCAACCCCCTGCTCAGGCAGGAAACCCTATACCATTTTGGACAAATGGCTGTCCAGTCTCTTCTTAAAAACTTCCAATGTTGGAGCATTCACCGCTTCTGGAGGCAGGTTGTTCCATGGGTTAATTGTTCTAACTGTCAGGAAGTTTCTTCTTAGTTCTAGGTTGCTTCTCTCCTTGATTAGTTTCCATCCATTGCTTCTTGTCCTGCCTTCAGGCGCTTTGGAGAATAGCTTGACTCCCTCTTCCTTGTGGCAACTCTTGAGATATTGGAACACTGCTATCATGTCACCCCTCGTCCTTCTCTTCATTAGACTAGACATACCCAATTCCAGCAACCGTTCCTTATATTATGTGCATATTATTTTGATGACAAAATGCAGAGGCTATTCTATAAGTATTACCAAAGATCAATACCAGTAAAAATGCTATTTCCAGCTGAAACAAGGGGATGCCTATTACATAATGGAAGTGGTTAGCCATATCTAGCTAAACTGGAGAATCATAGCTGTGAGTACAGTACAAATACACAATGAGCTGTTGAATAACATGTAGGGCAGCAGTATTTAAAGCCAAAACATTTTAAGTCTATTTTATACTTCAGGTAGATTTAAATTACTATAAATTGCATATAACTAAGCTGCCTTGTTCTGCCCTAGAGACTGGAAGCACTGGAAATTAGACATCTTGGAGTCTAATTCTGAAATGGGTTTCTCATACCTCGAGAGAAGACTACTGTAATTAGTAATTCCATCCAGAAAATGGATAATCTTAATTAAGTTTTCAGGGGGGGAAAGGCAAAGAACAAAGGTCAGGATCCAAGAAGTGGAGAATTATAACACCAAACATGTCTTGTTGAGCAGCCAGTGCTTGGAGCTGCAAGAGAAATACATGTTCAGGATCTCAAAAGGGAGAAAGTTTTAATCCTGCTCCTGCCCCTCATACAAAAACTGGTAAGAAGTATTGGGACAACAAAAAATGAGTTGATATATCAAATAGACAGCTGTAGACACATATTTTAAAAGTTTGTTTTATAAACAATTCAGTGTTTCCTGTTTAGATAGTTCCAGCCTTGACAAAACTTTAAATATTATTTTGGCTCTTAAGTTTCCTTTAAATCTTTGAAAACCTATAATCTATTTTTCAATCTTCAGTTGCACAGCACTGCTACTGTAATAGTGTTTGTTGCCATTAATATGCAAAGTAGAATTCATTGGCAGCAAAGAATATCTATAAAACTGCTATTAATGTTTTATTAGCAGCAGATAAAACAAATGTGGATTATGTAGAACCAGCTATAATCTTCCAAGGTGCACTTTTGCAACAGAGAGAGATCCTGAACATCTAACTTCCACAAGATAAGCTAAACTTGTACTTTTATCTTTGTCCAGGCTTCTTAAATTGAATATATTCCTTTAACCACTTAATTTTAGAGTGTATTTGTGCATTTTCATTCCTTTTACTTAAAAGGTTCAAAAATGGAAGAAAACTAAGTTAAATCTAATTCTAATACTCTTGAATGAGAATAGAAAACTTAGACAAATATGGTTGGCAGCTGTAGATTGACTGTTGATTTTGTTGCTCATTTTGGATATCCTGTGCTTGGTTGTTGACCATAATGAAGGTAGGGCTGATTGAATATTTGGGTGTGTATGTAATATTTTCTTAATCCATTGCTTACCCAGCCCTAATCAAATTGACAAATAGGAAAATGCAAGATTCATTGTAATTCATTGTAAACCATTTATCATTTACCTGGAAATCAAGTGTTCTCAATTTTTTTGCTTCCATGGCTTTGGTCTCCCTTTATTCTGCCATGCCCTATATTTTCAACTTGGAATCATCTTTTTGTTACTCTGTTTAGGTGGCTGGGCTGCTTAATCCTATGCTGCATGATGATCCTGATCCTGGTCTTTTTCTACCTGGGATTATTATGTGGTACATGTGGCTATGACAAAAATGCAACACCAACAACCAGAGGCTGTCTCTCAAATACTGGAGGAAATTTCCTGATGGCGTGAGTACTTGCCATTTTAATCTTTCCCCTAGTTTAAGAAATTGCATTGAAGAAATATATTTGGGAGATAAAAAGCAAAAAAGACAAGGAGGAGGAAAACTTTGACTTGGGTTTTACTAAGATTTGCATTATTGAACTTTGGAGTTACACTCACTTCCTATGTATATGTATGCCTTTAAGAAAGTTTAACCAACTGGACTAATCCTTGCACTTTTCTAGACAAAGTATTTTGGAAGTGGTTTGCCATTACCTTTCCTAGAGCTGAGAGAGAGGGACTGGCCCAAGTCATCCAGCTGGCTTTGTGCCTAAGGTAGAACTAGAACTGAAGGTCTCCCAGTTTTTAGCCTGATGCCTTAACCATTGACTTTCTAATTCTTATGTTAACTGTATTTAACTAACTTTAATTAAACTAAACAAATGTAAATTAAATCAGGTACAGTTGTAGTGCCTGGCTGTACCTAAAGCCAAAAGCAGTCATGAACTCACAAGAGGTGGCATATCCCAGACTTAAGAAATTATGCTGGTCACTTAATTTGGTAATCATTCCAATGACTCATCCATGAAGAGATCTTACTGATATGCAAAAGTAGAGTAGCATTGCATTAAATGGAGTTAAATGGAATCTTTTAATGGATTCTCTAAAAAGGAGGAATTCAGCTTATTTCTGTATGTAAGTTGAGCCCCTTAATCTTTTGATGAAACTACCTTTTCTAAGTAGTAATTTTTTAAAATCATCTTGGGAATTGTAAGCAATTAAAAAGTGCTCCTTTGAGTATAAAAGTTATACTATGGGCTTACAGTTCCCTAAAAACCAAGCCTTTCAAAATTTACCTGAAGTTCTGGAAGAACAACGATAGATGCCTTTTGAACGCTTTCTCAGAATAGTGCTTTAACAGAATTGTGGAAGAAATGCTAAACCTTCTCACATGAAACTCACATTCTTGTATTTTAGAAGTTTTGCTTTCTGTCCTGCTCCTGTTTTCACAGATTCTCAAGCACAGCTATTTCAGCAGAAAAGATTCCCTCTCCTGTACTTACAGATTTATTTTTGATTTGGAAAGTCATTGCATACTTCTGAATTGATAGATATTTTGATATTTGTTTTCCTTAGTCTAAGCTGGTTGTTAAAATACTTACAAGAGAATGTATTCTTAAAATGCCTTTTTTTTCTCCCCCACCCCTCCTTCAATCAGTGGAGTTACTTTCAGCTTCCTCTTCTCCTGGGTTCTGATGCTGACAGTGGTGGTCACTTTCATTACCGGCGGAAACGTGGAGAAGCTGATATGTGAATCATTTCATGACAAGACTTTATTCCAAGTACGGCACTCTATATAATTATGGATTTCCATATCTTTTCTGATAATTCTAATGTTTGTCATGCACTTGTAAAACATTCAAAATACTTTATAAAATGTTCTGCATGTTCATACAATATGTAAGGCCATAATTTAATTTTGCTGTAAATGAGCAGGGTTCAATCTCTGGTTTCTTCCATGAAATGCACAGCTAGAAAATGACAGGTCACTCCTGGGTCATTAACCACCACATTTTGCTTCTTTCCTTGGCTGGAAAGTGGAACAAACCAAGTTCTTGATTTGGAATTATAACCAAGCCACAGCTGGAAACTTCTGTGGATTGTTAGCTATGCATGCCCATAAAGCAGCAGGTAGCAAGTGACAGCATGCCCTAACATATGATTTATTGTGCCAAGTTATAGTTTGAGGTAAGACAGTCATTATTGTATCACCTTTAAAACACTCCTATAAAATAGATGGTGACATTATTAGCCACATATTATAAATAAGAAAGCAAGTTTGAAAGAACTTCCTGGAAGAAATTAGATCTGAACTGGATTCCCCATTTGGTTTTTCAGTCATTGCAAAATATTACTTCTGCTTAAATAACTTCACTTGATCTAAACCAGATATGTCAAACACAAGGCCCAGGGGCCAGATGTGGCCCGTGAAGTGGTTTCATGTGGCCCGCGAAGCCATCCTGGAAACAGTGAGGGAACGGCCCCCATTGTCTTGGCCCTGGCCAGGCCAGCCGGGAGCCAATGTACAATTTTGTGGTGGCCATCTATGCTGAAATGGATTCTTTTAATTCTTTTGAGCGTGTTCTTATTTCTAAGGAACACTTAAGCCTGCCCACCTACTAACAGGAACTTCACATAGTCCTGCAAATACTTTGGTGGGCCTCTGGCCCGCTCTGATCTTCTTGGAGCGGTTGCAAGTGCCCGGTCTACAAGCTTGCCAGCAGACCGGGACTTTGATGCCCACTAGGTACAGGCGAACCCACATCATGCTGACTGGCCGAGTCCTGTAAACCCAGACCAGAGTTTCTTGGTGGGGTAGAATACCCCAGATCCACGACAGACCCCTCTTGGGAGCACTGTCCCGTAGGCACAAAGCCAGCAGATGGAGTGACCTGAACAGTCGGTTGCGTGCAATGTCCCATGGACGCAGTGCCACAGTCAGAAGCTGCCTCGTTGGCAAAACCCCTATATGCAGAGTGCAGACCCCTGCCTCCGCAGGAAGACTGAGATCCACAATCATGATCATGGTCCTCCCCCCCCCCGAGAGTAGAGTCAGGAGTGGAAGGGTGACTGGGTAGCCTCCAGCGCAGCTGGTAAATGTGCCAACGCAACACATGACCATCTTCCAGGGCCACTTCATATGACAGTGGCCCAGTGACTTTGCAGACCACTGCTGTCACCCAGAGATATCCAGGTCCATAGTTCCTCGCCCAAACCCAATCGCCCATCTGTAGTCTCCTAGGTGCCCGTGGCTGTGACACCTGTGAAGCCACCTGGTCTGGGTGCAATCTGTCCAGTTTGGTAATGAGATGGTGACCCCAGCAGAGTTCAGCTGGGCTTTTCCCAGTAGCTGTGCAAGGTGTGGCGCGATGGCAAAGAAGAAAGTCAGCTAACCAGTGATGCCAGCTCCCGTAAGTGAGTTTCTTCAAGGCGTCTTTGGTTGTGAGCACCATGCGCTCAGATTGGCCATTAGAAGCTGGATGAAAGGGTGCCGAAGTAGCATAGCAGATCATGTTGGCCTGTAGGAAAGCCTGAAACTCAGAAGAAGTGAATTGAGGGCTGTTGTCAGAGACAAGAACATCTGGGAGCCTATGGGAGGCAAAGATTCCCCTCAACACCTGGATGGTCCTGGCAGTCATCATAGTGGACACTGGAATGACCTCTAGCCATTTAGAGTGACAGTCCATAACAATGAAGAGGAATTGCCCCTGAAAGGGGCCAGCGTAGTCGATATGAACCGTCGACCAAGGAGCATGTGTTTCCTCCCACCTGTGTACAGGAGCCTGTGGCATTTCAGGCCTAGACTGTTGGCAAACGTGGCACCCCTGGACCTGGGTCTCAATCTCCTTATCCAGCCCAGGCCACCAGAGATAGCTGCGCGCAAGAGCCTTCATCTGGACTATGCCTGGATGTGCCTCATGCAGAGATTGCAAGACTCTAGTCCTCAATGAGGTTGGGATCACTACCCTGCTACCCCACAGGACACAACCCTTAAAGGTGGATAACTCATGCTTCCTTTTCCAGAAACTCTGGAAATTGGTGGCAGGACACGTGTCAGGCCATCTTGAAAGCACCCATGTCAACACACGTGTTAATGTGTGATCATTTGCTGTTTCTGCAGCCCCATCCCCTGCATTGAGGGGAGACTCAGGCAAATCCTGGATTAGCTGGAGCAGGATCTGATTCTACAAGCTGTAGAGGCAACCTACTAAGGCCATCTGCATGGTCCATTTCTTTGCCTGGTTTGTGAACCAGTGAGTAGTCATATGCAGACAGGAAAATTGACCACCTCAACATTCTAGGAGAAATTATGTGTGGGGTTTGCTTGTTTGTTGTAAACAACCCCAGCAGTGGCTTATGGTCTGTAAAGACCGTGAAGTGGCGACCATACAAAAAGTCATAGAACTTTTTTATGCCAGCCACTATGGCCAAGGCTTCTCTGTCTATCTGTGTGTAATTATGCTTAGCAGATGACAGTCCTAGAATAGTAGGCTGCAGGGACTTGTGTCCCATCAGTCTTGAGGTGACTTAAGACAGCCCCGATCCCATAAGGGGATGCATCGCAGGCTATACACACAAGCAGTTGCTCATTGAAGTGAGTGAGAACAGCATTTGAAGACAACAATGCCTTGACCTCTGCAAAACTCCTTTCGTGGACTTGTGTCCACTTCCATGGAGCCTGTTTGTCCAAGAGGTCTGCCCAGGTCTCTCTGCAGCTTCCTGCACCTGCTGTGTCAATCACAGCCCAGGACATCAGCACCCACCCTGGCCACACCCACCCAGCCCCCCAAGGGCAACCGCAATGCTGATGCGGCCCTCAATGAAATTGAATTTGACACCCCTTATCTAAAATAACCTTCAATAAAGGTTAGTGAATATCATGGCCACTGAAACATTCTAAAGTTGATACTTTTAGGTCAATCTGTGTAATATTACCATTACGTTTAGGAAATGGATATTATACAGTGTAGCTTCTTGTTACTTGCAAAACAAATTATAATAAAGAAAACACATTTCTGAGTATAGGTAGTCCTCATCTTACAACAGTTCATTTAGTGATCATTTAAAGTTACAACGGCACTAAAGTGACTTATGACTATTTTTCACAGTTACAATAGTTGCAGCATTTCGATCTGATCAAAATTCAGATGCTTGGCAACTGGTTCACGTGATCACCTTTTGCGACATTCTCACAAGCAAAGTCAATGGAGAAGCCAGATTCACTTAACGACCGGGTTACTAACTTATCAACTGCAGGGATTCACTCACCAACTGTGGCAAGAAAGTTCATAAAATGGGGCAAAACTCACTTAACTAATGTCTCACTTAACAACAGAAATTTTGGACTCAAATGTGGTCATGAGTCAAGGACTACCTGTATTGTTTGTAGAAGCCAAATTAAATGTATACGTCAATCTTCTTTGAATTGCATTTTAGATTTTGGACACACCCTACTTGCTTAATCGCCAGTGGAAAAACTATCTGTCTGGCATCATTCTGAAAAACCCAGATATTGATTTGACATTTGAACAGGTTTACAGGTAAATTTTCACTCTTTCCTGCTTCTGTTATACAATTAGGTTTCTCTGAGATTGTGTGTATAGCTTCAGTCATCTGAAAATGATTGAAATTTCTTCCAAATTGCCTCCTGTACTCTCTGCATCATCTGCTCCTTCCCTCCATAACTGGAACAGCCAGGAACCACCTCCTCTTCTTGATTGTGGTGGGTAGAGAGGGCTCTTCTTTCCTTTTATCTATTTCCATAGCAATAAAGCATCCAAATGGATAATTGACCTTATCCCTCCCCCCCACACACCCTTTTTTCAGGCTGACTGGCTGACTTCTTTTCTTCAGTTAAAAGTGGGAAAATCCTCAAACACCTTTTCGATATTTTCCTCCGCAATGGCTATCCCAAAATTTTCATAATATGATGCTTATCATCCAAACACTGACAAAACACAGCCAACCACAAGAGAAAAACAAGTCCTGCCATACATCAAAGGAACATCCAAAATGACTGCCAGAATATTGCAACCCCTAGAAATAATGATAGCTCACAAACCCACATTTACATTCAGAAAAGAGCTATCTAAAGTCAAAGACAAAATACAGAATGAAGACAACAGCAACGTAGTATATAAAATCAATTGCAACAATTGTAACTAATTCTATGTGGGACAAACAGGAAGGCAATTGAAAACAAGTGTTCATGAACATCAACTAGCAATTAAATGGCACAACCAAAAATCCCTGTTCTCAAACCACATCGATAATAAACAATACCAGTTTGATTGGGAAAGAACAAAAATCATTGGGCTTGCCAACAACCACCAGATATATGAATTTATTAAAGCCTGGTATTCTACCAAAGGAGCAATGAACAAACATATTGATCTAGATCAGACATGTCAAACACAAGGCCCACAGGCCGAATCCAGCCCGTGATTGGCCCATATTTGGCCCACTGGGTCACCACAGAGATGGTGAGGGACCTGTCCCTGTCACCTCAGCCCCACCCAGCCCAGCCAGGCAGCCCCCCAGGCGCGTGCACAGGAGGTGGTGAGCATGCAGGGGGGTGACAATGTCTGGCAGCAGGAGCTCCGCAGCCTGCTGCAACCACTGGGTTGACCCTTGAAGCAGCAGGTGCAGCTGTGGCACTGGCAGCAGGTAGAGTGAGTAGGGGAGACATGTGATGTGGACTGCACCTACTTTGGCCCATCTGTCTTTACTTGCGCTTGGAAACCAGGTCATTGCTGGTCATCTCAGCCCCCTTGCAGGTCTTGCCCTTGACCTGCATGTGGAGTGCGTACGCTGCCACCACTAAGGCCACCAGCAACTCACACAGGTCCATTAGGCTGACGCAGTCTGGAGCGGCAGGCCCACCCAGCACAAAGGAAACAAAGCAGCTGGCTAGTTAGCCCAAGTAGAGGTGGTAGAGTATGCCCAGGCCCAGCAGGCAAAAGACAGCCACCCCGAGCGGGGAAAGCCGGATCCCCATCAGCCCATGGCCACCCAGGCCCAGCAGAGACAGAGGGGGAGGCCTGTGATCCTGGCTGGACCTGGGTGGCCATGACATCAATGGGATCTAGCTTTCCCTGCTTGGGGTGGCTGTCTTTTGCCTGCTTGGCCTGGGTGTGCTCTACCACTTCTACTATGGTTTAATAGCCAGCTGCTTTGCCTCCTTCATGCTGGGCAAGTCTGCTGCTCCAGATGGCAGCAGTGATTGCCTAATGGACTCTCATGAACTGCTGGTGGCTTCAGTGGTGGTGGCGGCTGCCCACAGCAGGGCTGAGGTGTGTCGGATGTGTGAGGGGAACACACTCCATGTGCGGGCCAAAGGCAAGACCTGCAAGGGGGCCGAGGAGATGACTAGCGGCAATCTGCTCTCCAAACACAAGCAAAAACAGATGGGATTGAGTAGGCGCATCCAGCAGTCTGTGTCATGTGCCTCCGCTGTGACTGCCTGCTGCTGGTGCCATTGCCGCACCTGCTGCTTGGACGGCCAGCCTGGTGTTGGCAGCAGGCTGTGGAGCGAGGCAAGGTGAGGCAGGGGGTGGGGGTGGCTGCTAGATACCATCAGGCCCCGCACACAGGGCGGCGAGCGTGTGGGGGGTGATGGTGTCTGTCAAGGTTAAATTGATTTGCAAACTCTTATGGAATTCAGTCTCCAAAACAACATAAAGCAACAAATTCTACCTGGCATAATTCCTCTGCCATTTCTAAGATCCAGATTTACAGAAACGTTACGATTTCATTAATGACTTCCTTTTTAATTTAGGCATTGCCCTTTCAAATTTAGGTTTATATGTTGCAGCGACATTGATTTAAGTTGGATGTTGTTGCCTTAAGTTGTATTTTCTTAATAAGAGAAGGAAGGTTGGATTATTCTTGCTTTGAAGCAGAAGCTAAGTAAGGACTAAAATATCAGTTACTACTTCCATTTAATTTTTCATAAACCAAAAATTGTCAAGAATTCCATCAGTTGCTCAAGTGTTTGGGAGATAAGGTCTAATTCTACAGTTATGCAGAAATATCTCATACTTAAATATCTTGAAAAAAATAGTTGCGTTATTAATTAGATTCCAAAGATTATTTGAAACTTCCAAATCTTTAGGTACTTTGGATGAATTGCCTAATTTTGCATTTTGAATAGCAGAGTCATCAGGAATTGTCTAAATAATTTTTGACTTCAAATGTGCTTGTGAGGTAAGGTAGGAAGGGTTTGGTTAGCAATTTGGGAATTGTATAAGCTGCCCAGTTGTTAGAATGGGTAGACTTAATAAATATAATAAATAAGTAATCTTTCTAATCCTTTGAATTCAGACTGATACTGTATTCAAATGGCTCAGTTAAATAGATTTTTGATGGAAAATATTAGGATCTAAAACTGGAAACAAACTCTTGATTTATCCTTTTTCTATATATCTTTTTAGTGACTGCAAGGACAATAAAGGCATTTATGCTACGCTCCACTTGGAAAACTTGTTCAGTATCCATAAAATTCTAAACATTAGCATGGTGAGTTTAACAGGTTGTGAATATTTCAGTACTTTACTATGCAATATTTTGCATTTTGTTCTATTTTGAATTTTTCTAGAAAATATAATTTACAAGAAGTAAGCCGTTTATGCATCATAGTGATTGAAACTTTGGCCCAAATTTGAATTTTTACCATTGTTGTAGAGTGCCATTCTGAGATATTGCATTTGTCCTTCAGCCTCTGTTATTCATTCTGTCCCTGACAGCTTGTCTGTGTTTAAAGTGTTTGGGATCCTCTTTCAGCTCAGTTTTGCTTCAAGCTGGTTCCTTTCACAGGATGAACTGTGTGTTTTCATTTAATATTACAGGATTTGAATTACAATATTTACAAAGCACCTCTGATGCCAAGTTTCTCCAGGCAGAGCCAAACATTAAAAATAGTACAATAGAAAATGATGTAAGATACTTCAAATGAAATAATAGAAGCAAATAGTGTCCAAGCATAGTCTATAGCAGTGGTTCTCAACCTTTCTAATGCTGTGACCCCTTAATACAGTTCCTCATGTTGTGGTGACCCCCCACCATAAAATTATTTTCGTTGCTACTTCATAACTGTAATTTTGCTACTGTTATGAATTGTAATGTAAATATCTAATATGCAGGGTGTATTTTCATTGCTACGAATTGAACATAATTAAAGCATTGTGATTAGTCACAAAAACAATATAGCAATGCTCGCTGGAGAAGCTTACTCTTCCTTGCTCAAAAATATTGAGAGGGAGGGAAGGGGAAGGAAGGAAGATTGAAGGGGAAAGGAAGGAGATGGAGAAGGAAGGAGATTGAAGGGGGAAGGAAGGAAGGAAGGAAGGAAGGAAGGAAGGAAGGAAGGAAGGAAGGAAGGAAGGAAGGAAGGAAGGAAGGAAGGAAGGAAGGAAGGAGAAAGATTGAAGAGGAAGGGATGGAGATGGAAAGAAGGAAGGAAGATTGAAGGAGAAAGGAAGGAGATGGAGAAGGAAGGAGATTGAAGGGGAAAGAAAGGAAGGAAGGAAGGAAGGAAGGAAGGAAGGAGAAAGAGATTGAAGAGGAAGGGATGGAGATGGAAGGAAGGAGATTGAAGGGGAAAGGAAGGAAGGAAGGAAGGAAGGAAGGAAGGAAGGAAGGAAGGAAGGAAGGAAGGAAGGAAGGAAGGAAGGAGAAATTGAAGGAGAAGGGAAGGAGATGGATGGAAGGAAGGAAGGAAGATTGAATGGGAAAGGAAGGAGATGGAGAACAAAGGAGATTGAAGGGGGAAGGAAGGAAGGAAGGAAGGAAGGAAGGAAGGAGAATTGAAGGGAAAAGGAAGGAGATGGAGAAGGAAGGAGATTGAAGGGAAAGGAAGGAGATGGAGAAGGAAGGAAGGAAGGAAGGAAGGAAGGAAGGAAGGAAGGAAGGAAGGAAGGAAGGAAGGAAGGAAGGAGAGATTGAAGGGGAAGGGGATGGATGGAAGGAAGGAAGGAGAGATTGAAGGGGAAGGGAAGGAGATGGATGGATGGAAGGAAGGAAGGATGGAAGGAAGGAAGGAAGGAAGGAAGGAAGGAAGGAAGGAAGGAAGGAAGGAAGGAAAAGGTGCTTTATAATGCTCGACGGGGAAATATATTTTAACCCCCGATGGCTGATTGAGGAAGCCAGGTCCGTCGGACCGATTTCCAAATAAGCCTGATTGGGGAGGCGGGAGTGTAAATGATGTATCAAAGGACGCTTCCCGTTGCCCCTTCCCGTCCCCTCTGGTGCTGCTTGTGGCGGGGATCGGGGTAGGGGAGAGGGATCCTTTCTTACAGCTCTGAAACGAGTTTTCTCCTTTGATTTCGGGGTCCCATTGCCAGCCCGGCCAGCTGGCCTCCGACTCACATGCGGGCATCGCTGCTGCCTTGCCCTCTTCCCTGCCCCCTGGCTGCTTCCAAGGCCCAGAACCCAGCAAGCTGGGAAGGAGCCGCTGCTGCCCGGCAGCCCCATGGCTGCACTGGGTGCAAGAGAGCCAAGGCGGACTTTGATGGCGAGGGAGGTGGGCTGGGCGGCGTGGGGGAGACTCCCACATGGTGCGGAGGGTGGCTGGGGGAGGAGCATGGCTGGGCAACCAGGAAGCCCTTCTCCTCTCCTTCCTCCTGCTGTCCCCAAAGTGGCTCGGGCGGGTGCCAGTAGGATGAGAGGTGCCTGGGGGGAGCAGCGGGCTGGTGGAGGGGCTGGCAGCCATGCGGCACCAGCCCCCACCATGGCTCCATTGATGCATGGAGGACCAGGCCGGGCAGCGTGGGGGCGGCGGGGACAGTGGCAGCAGCGGCCACTGTGCATCATTGGGGGTCCCCGCTGCCCCTGTGCTGCCCGGCCTGGTCCTCCATCCATCAATGGAACTGTGGTGGGAGCTGGTGCCGCATGACCCGCCAGTCCCTCTGCCAGCCCGCTGCTCCCCCCAGGCACCCCTCTTCCTCCCGGCACCCGCCCGAGTCGCCTTGGGGGCAGCAGGAGGAAGGAGAGGAGAAGGGCGAGAAAACCGCTGCCACTGTCCCTGCTGCCCTCGCACTGCCCGGCCTCACCCTCCACCCATCTGATGGAGCCGCGGTGGGGGCTGGTGCCGTGCAACCTGCCAGCCTCTCGTCCAGCCTGGCTGCTCCTCACCAGGCACCCTTCTTGCCCCAGCGCCCACCTGAGCTGCCTTGGGGGAAGTAGGAGGAAGAAGGGGAGGAGGAAGAGGATGGCAAGGAAGCCGCCGCCAGCGCTGGGCCCCAGGAGGCGGCTCTCCTCTTCTACCTTTGCTGAATCTCCTTCTTTCTTCCCGGCAGCCTGGACTCCGGTGTGCCTTCCTGGCCAGCGGAGCCAATGGTCGGGCTGGCTGGGGATTGCTTGGGCTGGTCTCCCTTGGGCCACGGTTTGCGGGAGGGCTGGCCCACTCAGCGGAACCTCCAGTGGGCCGCTCCCAACAGGGATCCCGGGGCTTTCTCGGGTGGCTCCAAGGCCACGAGGCCCTGGCCGCGCTTCTCCCAGGGGGTGGGGCACCCGGGTGCAGGGCCAATCAGGAGCCCTGCAGGAGGTAAGTCCACCTGAGAGAGAAGGGAAGCAAAAGTGCCTCTCTGTCTCTCTCTCTCTGCAAATGGCGGAGGAGGCCATGCGGAGACAGATGCGGAGTGGTGTCTCAGTTCCTAAGACCATCGGAAATATGTGTTTTCCGATGGTCTTAGGCGACCCCTATGAAATGGTCATTCGGCCCCAAAAGGGGTCGCGACCCAAGGTTGAGAACCGCTGGTCTATAGCATCCTAGGATGCCAATGTGCCAGACTGAATTAAAAATGTTTTCCCGTATGCCAAAATTAGAACATGCCAAATGCTTAGAAGTGGAGAAGAGGCAAGTGGAGAAGGGGCACCAGAACAGAAAAGACTGTTTGGGTTCCAAGGATGTGGCCCAATCTAGAGGGATTTATTGCAGCCATTAGGTTGATTGACATAGAAAAGGGATTCTTTGAAGTATTCTGATCAAGTTGTTTAGCCTTGCAGATTTAGAACATAGAGCATAGAATAATAACTTGGAAGAGACCTTGGAGGACTTTTAATCCATCCCTCTACTCAGGCAAGAGATCCTATACCATTCTGGACAAATGGTTGTCCAATTTCTTTCTGAAAACCTCCAGTGATGGAGCACCCACAACTTCTGGAAGCAAGTCGTTCCATTGATTAATTGTTTTCGCTGACAAGAAATTTCTCCTTAGTTCTAGGTTGGATCTCTCTAATATTATTCTTTGTCCTGCCCTCAGGTGCTTTGGAGAATACATCAATTCTCTTTTCTTTATGACAGCTCCCCAAATATTGGAAGACTGCTATCATGTCATCCTTAGTCCTTCTCTTCATTAGACTAGAGATACACAGTTCTCCCAACCATTTATCATATGTTTTAGCTTCCAGCCCCTTGTCATCTTCATTGCTCTTCTCTGCATTCTTTCTTCTTTCTTCTTTCTTCTTTCTTTTATATTGTGATAACCAAAATTGGATGCAATTTTCCAAGTGTGGTTTAGTAAAGATGAAACCTCCTTTGAATTGAATTCAGTTTCCGGTGGCTTCACAGATACATTGATAATGTTTTGGAAGGAGTAATCAGACGTTTGCCATTTCTTTCAGCTAGAACAAGGATACCCAACCTCCGGACTGTGGCCCAGTAGTGAAGCACGTGCTGATCCATTTGCATGAGAGGCAGGTGCTCACATATAAAGCTCCATTTATGCTTGTGGTGTGCACTCATGCAAGAAGCTCCATTTGCGCAAGCAGTGAGTGCTCACACTCGCATGGGAAGCTCATGCCCACTACTTGTGTAAAATCATCCCCTCTTCCCCACCCGCCAGTCTGTGAAGCTGAGATCCCTGACCTAGAATTTGTTTTTCAACTTTGCCAACTGGAAGATACATGGATAGAGGATTCTGGAAGTTGAAGTCTACTCAGGCCTGGAGAAGGCCTGGAGACTAAAACATACGAAGAATGGCTACAGGACTTGGGTTTGGCTAGTCTAAAGAAATAGTGGTGGCATGATAGCAATGTTCCAGTATTTGAGGGGCTGCCACAAAGAAGAGGGCATCAAACTATTCTCCAAAGCACCAGAGGGCAGGAGAAGAAACAATGGTTGGAAACTGATCAAAGAGAGGAGCAACTTGGAATTAAGGAGAAACTTCCTAACAGTGAGGACAATTAACCCGTGGAACAGCCTGCCTTCAGAAATCATGGGTGCTCCATCACTGGAGGTGTTTAAGAAGAGAATGGACAGTCACTTGTCTGAAATGGTATAGGTTCTCCTGCTGAGTGAGGGGCTGGACTAGAAGACCTCCAAGGTCTCTTCCAGATTCTATTCTATTCTATTCTATTCTATTCTATTCTATTCTATTCTATTCTATTCTATATACTCTACTCTACTCTACTCTACTCTACTCTACTCTACTCTACTCTACTCTACTCTACTCTACTCTACTCTACTCTACTCATCTTCCAGTTGACAAAGTTGAGAAATACTGTTTTGAATATTGTTC